CTACAGTGGATTTGTGTGTGTGTGTGTATCAGTTAACTTCTTTATTGGACATAATAGTTATTTCATGTTATCTTTCCTGTCGTTTATATGTAAGATCTTGTCATACACAAGTAAGGATAGTTCTGCTTCCTTTCAATTTGGATTCTATTGGTTTTTCTAAATTAATTCTGCTAATTGGGTCTTACATTTATTTTTCTGTATCTTTTTATTTTCCCTCTATCCTTTCTGGTATTTGTCACAATGCATATACTGTTCTACTTAATAATACCTCACTTTTTAATATAAAATCTAAATGTAAAATTTATCTGGCTTGTTTTTAAGATTTTTGCTTACTTCTTCTATTTACTCAAATTTGCCATTCTAGCTTCCTAATAAAGAGTGAACTTTAGAACTAGAAAGATTGCTCAGTGGTTAAGAGTATTGACTGCTCTTCCAGAGGACTCAGGTTCAATTCCCAGCACCCACATGGCAGCACACAACTATCTCTAACTCTAAGATCTGTTATTCTCACACAATCATACATGCATACAAAATACCAATGAACACAAAATTTAAAAAAAGAGTTCAGTTTAACAATTACATTCCTCATCTCTGGGATATCTATATTGATCTCTTTTAAAGAAACATTATGTCTTCCTTTGTTTAATTTTGTACAATTATCCTGAGTTGGTAGAATATTATTATGGTATTTTAAATCTTTGTCAGTTAGTTAAAATGATTATATTTTTTAAAGATGAATTTCTGAGAACTTATTTTGGCCTTTTTATTCCAGAGCCTCTTCCTGTTTCCCTTTGTGTTTCTTAGCTTTTAGTTGGTTTCGATTAGTTTTGAAAAAGCAACTACTGCTTTTTGTCTCCATGGACTACATTCAAAGGAAAACCCTCACTGTGTCAAAAGATTTTAGTGGGTTTCTGTAATCATTTGTTTCTGTTATTGTTAGTATTAGAGTGGCATTTAGAAGCCGGCCTTCTTATCAGAAACTAACAAAGCCTTACTCCCTCTGCTATCTGTTTGCAACCCAGTGAGTTTTCTAGATCTACAGCAGCAAGAAGTGATACTCCCTAGTTACCAGCTGCCATCAAGCATCTGAAATATGCTAGTTCCCTCTCTGCTTCTCTGTAAGGGAAAAATGTGCATTCATCTCTGGTCTGCCCTGTGAATGCCATCATGACAGGTGCTTATTCTGTACCTCTCTTGCCTCCAAAGGAAAATCTTCAACTTTGCCCTGAGCCCTGTCCATCACAGGAAGCTATCTCCCATCCCTTCTTTATGTTGGCCAACTGTTCTAGTCTCCTCACTTCAGCTTCTTTGTTTCCTCAAGGGAAGAGGTGATCACAGAACGTTGTCTCTAGTCCCTAGGGTTGAAAGAAGGGCTGACACAAATAATTGAAATCTTACTCCTTAGGCATTTTAATGCAGCTTTATTCAATTTTGTGGTTTTCTGCAGTGTCAAAAAGGACTGTGGGATCTCAAATTCCATGATCCTTCCTATTACTTTCTAAAACCTCACTTATTCAATACACGTTGCACGTAGGGATTCACATCTATATCCGTTTTTTCATCTAAGATAATTTTTATTTGTTTTTCCCTTTCTACCCTCCAGACCTTCCCATGTACCATTCTTTGCTCTCTTTCAAATTAATGCTTATTTTTTTCATTAATTGTTGTTACATCCATAGATTTATATGGACGTGTACACACATGCACTTATACGGACATGTGTGTGATGTGTGGTGTGTGTGTTACCAAATACAGAAATGCAACCATCTCAGTCTGTATAATGTTAATTGTATTATGTTTTTAGAGACGATCATTTGCCAACACATGTCTATTGTTTTTCTTATTCAATTTAAGTTAAGGCAGTAATGTTGGTAACACTTAGGGGTGCAGAGTCTGACATTACTAGGAGACACAGTCTCATGGCAAATTTCCTGTTCCTTTGCCTTTTACAATCTTTCTACCTCCAATTATGCAATCATCTCCAAGCTTTAGGTGCAGGAACTGTATTGTTGATATATCAGTTGAGATTGTTCTTCACAACTATGAATTATGATTAATTGTGGCTTTCTATAATGGTATTTGTATGTTGGAAACAAAAGTTTCCTAGTTGAGCAATAAGGCCTAAATTTATCTCAGATATAAAGACAAATATTTAGAGTGTATTAAGGATTATACTGTTTTAGTATAGTGGCAGCTGAAGGTTCTCCTCCAAGATCCACAACTTCACCAGCCCCACCTGCTCATGCACCTCAGTGTCTTTTTATCTACTTTTTTTTCCATCAAGAAGAATTTGTGCTGTCCAAGTGCTCCAGGACACATGGCCTTCCACTGGAGTGCACACAACATATTAAAAGATATACTCTTAGAGAAAACTATCCTCCCACTTCCCAGCAGCTGATAACCATCAACACCTCCTTGGCTAGGGAGAGGACTTTATACCCAAATGTCCTCTCCATCCTGGGATTTAGTCTTCCTTGGGGATGGACAGGTTTTGTGCATGCATGTTGTCAGAACTACTGTGAGTTCTTATATGGAATTTCCTTGATGTGTTCAGAAGGTGGTATTTCCTAGTAGTCATCAATCTCTACCAGCTTGAAGACTTGTTATACTCCCTAAACATGTGGTATAGGTTTTATGTTTGGTTTAGCAGTAAATATTCTGTAGAATATTCTGTATACACATTCAGCAGTTCTGAGTCCCTGTGTTAATCAACAACTACTGCAAATAGAAGCTCCTCTGATGAGGACTGAGAGATGTGTGGATCTGTGGTGGTTATAATGATAATTCTTATAGGAGTCATTTTAATACTATATCTATTTAGCAGAGGAATAGTACAAGGTTCCTTCCTAGTTTTGATTACTGATTTCCCAATTATAAATTCTATTTTTGATATCTTTATTTGGATTATATGTTCAGTTAAAGTTCCCACATAAATTTAGTCATTATATATTTTATTATTTTACAATAATCTTGTAATCAAAGAACAGAGCCCATATAACCTTAATTTAAAATTCATGCTAAAGATTTTTGCAACCAAATATATGTAAAATTTTTATAATCAATACATACAATGGAAATTAATATTTTATATCCCAGATTGTAAAGCTATTTTATCTACCTATGATATCATAATGTACTGATTATGTTATCATTTGTAATTGTTGTTCTATAGAGAGTATACATTTAAAAAATTCAATAATATCAAATTTTATTGTTGTTTATATAACAAAGTTATCTGAAAACAGCATTGTATGTTTACTCAAATTATGGTATATATAAACATATAATTTGACTTCTTTTCATCATTAATTTGTGATTGTTCATGCAATTCCCTTTGCTTCCAATTAATATTTTAAACCAACTGAATTTTTCCTCTTTATTTTGATGTCTTTATTTTCTTGCTATCACTTCACATAATTTTTTAAAGAAAAAAATCTTCGTATTTATCCTTTCTGAGTTTCCCACCGTGCACTCTAATCCCACTCATTTTCCCATGTCCTCGTATCTATCATTTGCTCTTCAATCTACCCCCAAAATAACACACACACAACACATACATACACACACACACACACACACACACACACACACACACACACACAGTATCTCATTGTGAAAACTGCAGTATCACAAAGCACTCTGTCCCACAGTATATCTCTCTGTTCACATATCTTCACTTGCAAACTTCAGTCATTGTTCTGGTTCAAGATCTCTGGATTCTGTGACTCCATCAACATTATATCCTCACTGGGCCTCCTCCTGTTGTTGTCCTGTGTCATGGACATTCTGCAGCTTTGGATTAGCAAGGCTGGCCTTTTCAAGAGTTCCAACTGATCACTTATGATACAGATTTTGGGGTAGAACAACTCAGAGCCCTGGATCTGGGCATGTGTGGTAGCTGACCTGGTCAGCCTACAGGCTCTCTCTTGTTTGTACCACCAGGGCAGCTCTCTAGCACTGCTTCAGCTAGATCATCCAATGCTGTCCTCAGGAGGAGACATGGTCAGCTCTCCTGCTCTTACGTCCTTGGGTTGGCTCACCTGCAGCCAGGCCTACCTGACTAGCTCTACTGTGCTGGCCTATAAAGGAATGGGGCCCACTCACCCAAGTGTTGAAGCCTGTGAGGGGCTGAACCAGATCTTCTGCTCTTGTATCTCTCAGGCTGGCTCAACTTTGCCTTTGTCAACAAGGCTAGCTCCACTATGTTGCCCAGGGGAGGTACTGGGTCTTCTTTCCCAAGTGCTGCAGCTGGTGAGGGGCATGGATAGCTCTCCTGAGCTCATGATCCTGTATGCAGTTTTCCCAAATGTAGGAGGCATCATCGCAACATCCCAGTCATGGGGTCAGCTCTCTCACATTCATACTCTTTGGGACTGTTCACCCATACCTGTGCCACCAGGGTAAGTACCGCTGTGCTGACCTGGACAAAGCTGCTCCTACCTGAGATGTCCCCATGTTCTCTAGTAATAATGTGAGCAACAGACATTGGCTCTGATCCTTGCTGCTGCATAGCCACAAACTCAGACATAACCTACAGAGGCACATCTGGCTGGGAATTCACCATGGCTCCAGGTAACAGTGCTAGCCACTATCAACAGGCCACTCCCGTCTACCTTCATTTCTCTAGTTCCTTCTATCTTCAGAACGCTCAAGCTGCTCTATTTGTCTTTCTTGCCCAGCTGTCTATCATCTCCTCACACAAAGTGGTGGTTGGTGCTGCAGGTTGGCCATATGGCTGGAGGGACCCTGGGTAACGTCCTCAGGCAAGGGAGTGTCTATGGTTGCCTATACCAAGTATAGGAGGACAGGTCTGTGGGTGGTGTAGAGGTCTACAGGTCCACGGGTCTCTGTTTCTCTTCCTCCTCCCATGCTGCACTGCGTGGTAATAAGCCTGTGGGCATCCTTCCCAGCCCACACCATGTGGCATGGCAGAACACTGTCATCCTGACTGGATTTGATTTGATTTGATTTGATTTGATTTGATTTGATTTGATTTGATTTGATGTGTCCTAGACATTAAACAGCTTTGGCCACCAAGTCAGGCATCAGTCTAGGATGAACAAAGAACTGCCATCTGCTCTGCCCATGACCAATATAAGAACAACACCACCAACAAGGTATCTCTTTGTCCATTGCCAGTGGGGACATCATGTTTTTAAACTATGTGAAAGGCTGATGTTTTATTCTAAGTTACTTATTCATTGGACAGTCTCTGACTTTTATTTGGAAAATTCAATCATTTCGTGTGGTTGATATATTTCACTTGTGTAGTTACTTGCAACATATTTTTTTTCTTCCAACTGTTATATTTTTCTGATTTGCCTTTTGTGGTACTTCCCAACTTTTTTTTTTATAGTGGTCTAGTTTAGAGTAACAAATACTTTAATATGAAAATGTTAAAATAGTTATTAAAAGTCTCTAGGAAAGAGAAAAGTGATGCAAAACAAGAATTGGAAGTGGTTAAAAGAGCAAAGGAGAACTCACTTGCTTACGACAGAAGGCAAGGCTATATGTTAGAGTTTCAGGTCTTTGGCTTCTGTGAGGATTTGTTGTCCTGTTTCAATATGAGCTACACCCCAGAACTGGTGCTAACAGACCATCGAAAGTGCAGAGTCCATTTCCTGGCCATAGCTATGAAATATTTTCCCCTAGATCCTATGTACTTCAAGTAGTTTAATTCTATAACCTTAAGAATTTCTTAAACAATTAAGAATTGTATGTCCTATACAGTTTTATGAAATTTAAATGAGAAAATTCAAGAAAAAATTATCTAGCAATGTACATTTACTGAGCGAATCTAACAATCTCTCACCTTTATTACTTTTCTTCCAACCTATTTACTTTCTTCTTATTGTCTGGCAATACTCCCAGCTCTGTAGAGCATACCCCACTAGAATCAGAACATAGATTTTTACTATGTGCCTTAGGCAGCAAAATGATGTGGAGAGCTGGAAATTTCCAAATGAATTCACTCTGCATTTGTAAGAAAACAAAACAAGTATAAAAAATAATGCTTGGAAAATAGATTTTCATGAAGTAGATATCTTTACCATATTTTTCTTGGCAGATTAGCATATTGTGGTTTCTTTAATCATTTCATTTGGACATTTATAATTAGAAGAATTAAGTGATTATTGTGTGCTTCCCAAACACAGTTAAATATCACAGTCTCCTGGGCAGGTTATCTAGAAATGCAAATTTCTGTACTGTACTTCATCAAGTCTTGCTTAGTTAAATAGATATATGAGGCCCATGAATCTGTTTTTAATTTCTCAATGGGTCACTGAGCCTTTGAACATTTAAGCAATTACTAAGTAAAATTTATATTTAATTGTCTGCATCTTTCTCTGAAACTATTATGCATAATATTCTCTCTTCATTTTTTAAACTATTTGAATGGACTATTCAGCCACTGTGAATTCAGGTTAATTTCATATAAGCAAATAATTGTGTAATCCAAGCATCAAATTTAAAGTCATTTGTGAAAATGTATTAGAATCTTTGAAATCAGTTGACCATATAGAATAAGCTTAACATCTGAAAGAGTTGATGTTTTGTTTAATTATTCTTATCAGATTTAATATAATCACATAAGCTTGTATAATACATTCATGGTAAATGCAATATATAAGGAACATCAAAATGTAAAAATTAAAAACTGTTCACATAGAAATACCTAGTCATCACTTGCTATATATGATTTCACTGCCAGAAGAACAAAAACAAGTCATTAAAAAACTCGGATCCAAATGTAATTGCCCTGGAGAACAATACACTTTTTCCAGTCTTTTGCATGCTGAAATGCAGTAATGTCTTTTGAAGGGAAAAGTGAGAATAGAAATTGCTTACATTCATTGTATGCAAAAATACAGAAAGGTAGGATAAGATAGATTATTTATGGGTAAATTTACATCCATTCCCTTTTGTTTTCATATTTAATGATTAAATATATGTAAAAATTTTTAAAGAACCCAATATAGAATCTAGGAGTAATGTTTCCAAGTGAATTTAATTATGCAATTCAACATGTATCAAATATGAGGATTTGGTTACAATTAACCATTCACTTGCATACATAAATAGAGCAGTCTGAGCTGAACTTAGGTGTAATTAAAGTCATGATATTATTGAATTATATCTTGTGTTTAGTTTAGGATATGAACTCACTACCTCTGTCCCTCCTCAGACATGTATCAAAGGCATTGAGAATGTATAGGAGGGAAAACAGCAGCTTTAAGCCAGAAGAATAATCATTAAAGAAGGAAAAATAAAGCCAACCTAATTGTTTGGAGAACTTGGACTAAAAGCATCGTTATTATTGTCCATCACTAAATGACTTAAATAAATGAATTGTTCAAAAGCATGCAGTGAACTCTCTTAAGGGTCTTGACTAAAATAGGAAGCAAATTCGCTGATTACGTTTCTCATCAGCCTGTTTATAAAGTGGGTACATACTCTGAGAATCCTTACAGGTGAGTTACTTTTAAAGATATGATTAGAAATATATTTTATGTTTCTTTGGAGCATTTTACTAGTGAAGTTACTCCTTTCAAGAATATAAAAGATGTTAATTATACAAAGACATGTGAACCTCCTTGAGTTTCATGAAATCTATGACATGAACAAGTACATCCCAGCATGGATTAGGACTCAGGAAAGCTACACATTTCTCTATATAACTTTCAAGCAGCTCTAACAAAGTCTCCTCCCAGCAATTTTCTGCTGGATGGATGAGATATATCCTAAATAATGGGGCATGGTGAAATTCCCTATGAACATGCTATATTTCATAGTTGTCTTAAGCCTTATAAGTTTTGTGATCTTCCTGAGCCTTAGATTCTAAGGCTTTCCTTCTCCTGGGAGGAACTGTATCAAGTCGGAAGGACTAGATGTACAACACACACATTCTGCATTCCATTTTAAGTGAAAAATAGAGCTCTGTAATACATTTATCTACCTGTTTAATTATACATATAGTTCTATAGGATTATTTTGTTTTAAAATAGAAACAAAAAAACGGTGAGCATAATGACACATAACCTGTCATTCTAGCATCACAGAGGTAGGGGGCAGGTGTGTGTGTGTGTGTGTGTGTGTGTGTGTGAGAGAGAGAGAGAGAGAGAGAGAGAGAGAGAGAGAGAGAGAGATTCGTATCTGTTTGAAAAGTAGGAAAAAGGGGTCAAATCATCCATAGTAAGAAGGAAGTAAATATGTATGACTCTGAACCACCCAAAAAGGACAACTGATTCATAAGAAGAAACAGATATAGGGGCCCAACACAGCTCTAAATTTAGACTAGTCTTAGCCTACAAAACATTTTTAAGGTAATAGATTTTTTTTTTTATTAGGAGAATCTGGAGGAAAAGATAATTCAGTATTTAGAAACTTCATACACATGTGTTCCTATTTAGCATCAATGTTTAATGTTAATATCTTATTTAATAGAGCCTTTTAAGATACTACTTGATTTAATTTTTCAACTGCACTCCATAAATGTGGGACTGCGTAAGAGTATCCTGGTTCATGGCTGGGCATGGGCCTGGAACCCCGAGACTCCAAGGGAGAAAACGAGCAGTCCAGTCTCCATAGACCTACATTGTTCAGTCACGTAGGGCATTACAACCCCTTTCAAAGGGCAAAGGTAGAGTGTGTGACAACAGGCCTCAGGCCCTAGAGATTTACATACAAATGAAGGCCAGAGGGTGGAGCAAATTAAGCATTCTCCCCAGACCCTCCCCCTTTCTCCCTCCCTATTTAACTGAGGTCTGCCCTGAGTTTCAGGGAGGTACATCCAGACCCATCCACCATCCGCCATGAAAATAAACCCTTTTGGAACCAATGACTTTCTCGTGTCATTGGGGCCTGCTGTCGCCAAAGCCTTAGACCTTTCTCCTGTATGTGGGACCCACCATGTGGAAAGCCCCCGAGACTCCGCTGCGGCCCCTATTTTCTATTTTTCCCACACATAAAATATTTATTTTTTGTTTTATGAAATCTAAAATATAAATTTGTTATCAATTCAAGTACTATCACAATGTAACTCTTTTAGTTCTTTGTATTTTTGCTCTGGTTATTTAACAGAGAGATATAGAGTGATGGGTGAGGTGAAAACAAGGAGGATAGGACTATGTGGGTTATTTCCCTTGATTGTCAAATATGCATAAGATCAAATTCACAACTTTAACCACACGTATGTGTGTACATGTATGTTTATTTGTGTCTGTATTTGCCTGCCTGTATGTGTGTGTGTGTGTGTATGTGTGTGTATAAAACCACCTGCATGCCTGAAATCCACATAGGCTGGAAGAAGGCATCAGATTCCCCCAAACTGGAATTACAGATAGTTGTAAGCCATCATACGATCTGAAACCTAGTCCTCTGAAAGAGTAGTCTGAATCCTTCTCCACTGGGATATCCTTCCTGCCCGAATTTTGACCATGTGTAAACATACATTCAGTGTCGTTAATTTCATTCACTTTGTTTGGCCAGTATTGCTACTTTCTAACCTCAGAACTCCATATTTTGCACCTGTAACATAATTCTCATTATTCCTTTCTCTGAATTCCCAGCAATCAGCATTTGTAATATTACCTTAAGAATGTTTACAATGTATGTCTGGCTTATTTTACTTGATAAAAATACCTAATTTCTATTAGGCCATTTATACAAGCTAGAGACTTCCTCTCTTGGTCAATAGAGCCTTCTTGGACCTCTCCCTAAAACCTGAATTTGTGTGTACTATAACTGTAACAAATTCTTTACTGGAATTTACAAGTCCTACACTGATACATCCTCACTTTTGCCACAATGATGATTCACCCCAAGGGAAAAATTCAGATGTTAATGTTCCTGAAATGAGACATTGTGGTAAGTATGTCATGTCAGGAAACTGTTTACTATACTTACGAGTAGAAAGTTTCAGACCTGGTGACCTTTTGGGGTATTTTCCTACATGAAAAAGTTGCTCACATTTCTTGGTAGCATTAATGTAAATTTAATTACTTGGTATGCCTGTGGTATAATTTTTCTTCCCTGTAAAGGTAGGTCAGCACATTAGAAAGGTTAAGAATCTCATTCTAATTGGAGCCACAAAATATCGTTAATTAAATCCCCACAGGAGCCCTGCTGGATTGAACTACATATAT